AGGGATGTGGCTCAGTGGCAGAGCACTTGCCTAGCACGTATGAGGCCCTGGGTTCATCCCTAGTACCATTAAAAAAAAAAAAAAAAGTGTTTTCTCTTTATCAGTGAATTATCTCAGCATTTTGTCATGGAAAATCGACTAACACAGTAGCCCAAGCAGAGGAACCAGCATGACAGAGCCACGCAGGAGCCCTGGAGTGGGCTGGGGGAAGCTAGGAAACCCGACTGCGAAGGGCTGGAGTCAGGGAACCCTGCTCTGGTGCTGTGTGGGCAAGGAGAGAGGGCCCACTGGAAAAGAGGACCGGAAGCAGCTGCACTCCCAACCCAGGGGCAGTGCCGCCAACACTTTCCTCTAAGCTCTAGCCCTGGACAGCAGAAGACCCAGAAGGATTTGGAGGGATTGGGCTGGGCCCCAGATATTCTCCTATGAGGCACTTCTCAACACAGTCCACACCAGGAAGGGAAGTTAGAGGAACAATCAGCCAAGAAACGGAGCCAGGACTTAGGAGAGGTTGCTGCTTCTGTGAGCCCAGAGATACGAGGACACGGGGCTGAGTCACCCAGGACAGCCAAGGAGTGGAGTGGGGGGACCGGATCTCAGTGCAGCTGCATCTTGGCCCTTCCTGGTGGGCTGCTCTGACCGTGGGCCAGTGGATTGGCCTTTCTGAGCCTCATTTTCTCTTTAAAAATTTGGCTGATGCCACGCTTGGGAAACTGAGGTAGGAGGATCACAAATTCAAGGTGGTCCTTGGCAACTTAGATCCTGTCTGAAACTAAAAAATAAAAAGGGCTGGGAGTGTGGCCCAGTGATAGAGACCCCTGGCTTCAATCCTTAATACAAAAGAAAGAATAAAGGAAAATTGGGCTGAGCTGGTAGGGTGGCACGTGCTTATAATCTCATCTACTGGGGAGGCTGATAGGAGGTTTGCAAGTTCAAGGTCAGTCAGGGAAACTTAGTAGACCCTGTCTCAAAAATTTCAAGAAGGGCTGGGTGTGTGGCTCAGTGGTAAAGCACTTGACTAGCATGGGCAAGGCCCTGAGTTCAATTGCCAGTACCATGCACAAAAAGTGGGACTGAATTATTCTTATGCGACACATTAGTTGTAAGGAGCCTAGCACAGAGTAGACACTCAAGTAGAGTGAGAGCCTTTCGTATCCCATTTCAAATTTTTCTTTAATTGTGGGCACTGTTCTTTCATTCATCCCATAAATATTTCTTGAGCACCTACTACATGCTGAGCAGTTGTTTGTCCAACCACTAGAGAAACAATGGTGAATAAGCAAAATCTCTCTGACCCACAGCCGTGCAGCATCGCTCAGTTTGCCCGTGAATATTCTGGGTCTCTGCACTGGGCCCGACCCAGAGGATAAACAATAAACTTAAGTTCAAGTCATCTCACTCCCTATAGGTGCAGCAGCCCTTGCTGTGCACAGAACCTGCACTCAGGGCTGCAGACAGGGTGGGTCAGACCTCACCAGAAAGAGCCCCAGCCCCTCGCCTCCACTGCACCCTGCCTCTCAGAGAGGAGGGAAGATGTTGACCAGGTAGCTGGCCGGCAGCCGGTCAGCACCACAAGGCCAGGGGACGCCTCCGCTGCCCTGGGGGAGCTGTTGGTGTGCACAGCTTGGACGGGCAGAAGGGCCGTGCTGGACTCCAGCGCTTTGCTTGGGTTCCGCTGATGGCCGCGGTGTCTGCTGCAGCTTCAGCCGACCAGAGCTGGGGAACCTGTGCCCGGGCGGGGAAGCCACCTCTAACTCCCACTGACAACTCTCGCTACTCATCAGACCTAAGATGGGTCCTGAGGCCGCGCGGTGGGTGTCAGCCTCGCTCTGAGGCTGTGCCTCCGGGACTTCATTTGCACAAATGAAGCAGGGACTGAAAGCATGTGTCAACTTTTAATGAGGCCCCAGGTGTCACTGGGAATCCTGTGGCTGTTCACTATCAAAACTCGGAATTGGCTTCCTGGGGATTGTTATGGCACCAGTTTGGCGGGTCGGGTCGTGCTGGCAGGTGACTCATGAGGCCCTTTAATGGCAGTCGGGGCTCTTAGTGTTGTTCAGCTCCGATGTCCTCCAGGAAGGAGGCTGAGGGGACTTGAAGATGGGCACCGAGAGCCGTGGAGAGGAGCCGGGGTGGCAGTGCAGGTGAACCTTACCCACTGCCTGGCACAGAGAACCCTGGCATCACCCCGGGTGACCCACGCGTCTTGTTTTCCTTTCTCCTTTCTCTCTGTCCTCTCTCCCTCTCCTGTGCTCTGCTCCTCTCTGCCCTGTTTCCTTGCTGAGGGTAGAGCCCAGGGCCTCAAGTGGTCCACCACCGAGCTACCCCCAGCCCTGTTCTCTTTATATAAAAATAAAACCCACTTGGGGTGCAATTCATCTCTCTGTGTTAAAAACACAGATTAATTGATCCTCAACACACATTAATAGGCAGGGGAGACTTGCACAGTAGCCTGGATGCATTTGTGTCTTGGGGCACTGACTCACCTCAGACCAACTTGGATTCAAATCCTGGCCAGTCATTTTCTGGCTGTGAGAACTTAATGAAGTGAATTGACCTCTCTGAGCCTGGCTGCAAACAGGGAAACTAATCATATCACAGCACAGCATGTAAACTTGCCAACAACTGGTAAACCCTGGATTGTATTATGTCGTCCTTCAGTGGAGTCCGGTAGATGTTTGGGTATAGTTGACTTGAGCCAGATAATGGCTTCATCGACTTTACCTCCACCTTTACAATCCATCCATTCATTCATCAAACACTTATCAAACCCTTCTGTGTTCTGGGCTCTAGGAATTCCAACACAAGGGCAATAAGATGAGGTTCTTCGGCTTCTTGGTACTCACCTTCTCATGGGGAGAAAACTCAAAATATGAGTTAATGAATCAGTATACAGAATATTAATTTTAAGAAGATGGATTTGTGGTCGTGGTTATTGGGCCAAATTTAGGATCAGAGTCAACAAATAAATGGCAGCAGATTGCAGTCACAGTGACTGTGACTAAGAGACTTTCTGGGACCTGGCCCTGTCTCCCATGAGGATCCAATACCACTGTTGTATATCCAGTGTTTGGTTAACCGCCCCTCCCATTGGCAGACTACAAAGCCCCTGGAGGGCAGCAGGTGACAGTCCCCTTGGCTCTTTACCACTGTGTCTGGCGTGCCACAGTTACATGTGAATATTTACTGAATAAACTGATCATAAAGTGCATCCAGAGAAAGCACAGGTTTGACCTCCTTTGCTAAATCATTGCGGGACAGCTGGTCAACCTAGAGTTTTCCAGTATATAGCTTCTTAGCTTTATGCTGCCATGAGAAAGTACCAGAGTCTGGGTGACTTAAAACACACATTTATTTGTCACAGTTTAGAAACTGGCCTCCATCAGGGTGCCAGCTGGGGTGGGTCCTTGGTGAGGGCTCTCTTCCTGGCTTGCAGATGACCCCCCGCCTGCTCATGTGAGCTCACGTGGTTGACTGAGGGCTCCTCTTGTGAGAACACTAATGCCATCTTGAGGGCCCTGCCCAGAAGGCTTTATCTAAACCTAATAACCTCCCCAAAGCCCCATTTCCAAATATCATTGTCCCTCAGTTTCCACTGGAGGTTGGTTCCAGGACCCTTGCAGATACCAAAATCCTTGGATGCTCAAGTGCCTTATGTAAAATGCACAGTATTCACAGAGAACCCACACCCAGCCTCCTGTGGACTGTGAGTCTCTCTAGATGACTTAGAATAGCTAATGCAATGCAAACCCTGCTACGCCTTGATTTACTGTATCATCTGGGGAATCACGGCAAGAAAACAGTCTCTTCGTGTTCAGGACAGATGCAATTTTAAAAATCTTTTTTATCGAAAGTTGGTTGAATCAGTGAAAGCAGAACCTACAGATATCGAGGGTGACTGTACTATCACCTGGGAGCTAGGGGGTCGGTACATGAACAGGTGGGCAGTAGGGGAAGCACACATTTGGTCCATAGCGCAGGCCTGAAGCTAAAGTTTCTGGACCAAGAGCAAAAGGTGACTCCTAATTCCTGATACTCAACTCCATGATCCTCGGGGGGGGGGGGGGGGGGGCAGGAAACCCTGTTATTTCTCCTCTCTGCAGAGGGCAGAGAAGACAAGAGCTTTATCTTTGCAGTTTCAGCCCTCGAGTTCAGGGCAAGAGCAGGGACCAAACCAAGTTCCATTTGGCCTAATTTGAAATGACAGTTGTTAGCAGGGCATGGTGGTGCTCGCCTGTAATCCCAGAGAAGAGACTTGGGAGGCTGAGACAGGAGGATCACAAGTTCAAGGCCAGCCTCAGCAACTTAGCAAGGTTCTAAGCAACTTAGTGAGACCCCGTCTCAAAATAAAAAGCGTGGCTCAGTGGTTAAGCACCCTGGTACCCCCTTCTCCACAGAAAACCTTAACTAAGCTTCTCCAGAAATCTTCACCATGACTGATTTTAGGACTATCAGCAAGAGTCTCTACAAGAGAGTTCAACGTAGGTAAACTTCCTATCTGCCTGTAGCTCTATTTTATTTGGCCACTGGCCTGGGAGAGATCATCACTCCAGGTGCTGAATGCCCCTTTAATAGTTTTTCATAAACATTTATCCAATATAGTACTGTGTAGAAGTGTGTTTGCAAATGCAAAATGTGATTAAAAGGAGAGAGAGAGAGAGAGAGAGAGAGAGAGAGAGAGAGAGAGAGAGAGAGAGATCCTTTAACAAGGCCTCTGGCCCTGAGCTGGGCTTCACAGAGATGTCTGCATTTCTGAGATAAGAAAAATTAACAAATGGCCTCCCTGGTAACAGCTGGCAGGGGGAGGAGAGAGGGGACAAGAAGCTCTCCCCTTCTCAAGTGTTGTCCTTGAAGGGTTAACTTGCCCAGAACAGTGACAGAAAAAGCTGCTTTTCTGTGAACTTCTGCAGACTGTGAACTTCCGAGCCCCTCCCCTTACATGCTGGGTATAAAACTCTGAAACTTCTTGAACTCGGGGTTCAGGGGGTTGATTGATTACAGCAAAAGCTGCGCCCTCTGAACCTGGCTGCAGCCAAATAAAACTGTTTCCTGCTGTCCTTGGTGCCCTGCCTGTCTGTCCCTACCACCCCTTCCCCACCTGTGCCCGGCTGTGATGATGACCAGGTGAGCTTGCTTCTGTGCACAAGACTCAGGGGCCTGGGACCAGGTGAGGTCGCTGAGGAGAAGCTGAAGCAGGAGGCAGGAAAGGCCTTCCCTCCTGCAGGCAGGACAGGCAGGGGCCTGCGGGATGGAGCCACCAGCAGAGTGGGATTGTCACCCACCGCCTGGTCACATTCCCAACGGCCCGAACTTGACTCCACCGACAACAGGGACTCTCTCTGCCTCCGGTTAGTGCTCCCTGTGACTGGACCACATCAGAGCCACAGAGGGAACTGCCACCACCCTCAAGTAAGTTGGGACACGTGACTCAAAGTCGAGTGGGAATCCGGGTTGATGTTCCTAGTTCGGAATACACTCGGGAGCAGTGGTTCTCAATCAGGAGTGATTTTGCCCTCAGGGGACATCTGGGGACATTTTCCCCGCCCCATGCCCCTACCTAGAATGAGCGGCCCCCCAGACCTGCGGTGCCAAGTTTGAGAAATGGGGCTCCGAAAGGGGCAGGGGACCCCAAGGTCACGGAGGTTGTGCGGGAACCTGGCAGGGAGCGGCCAGGGGTGCAGGGCAGTGGCGCCGGGTCCCTCTGCCCGCGGGGACACCCTCCGGTCACCCCCAGCTTCCCATCTGCGAATCCGCCTGCTGGTTACACGGTACGGCGCTCGGGCTGTCCCCAGGGTGGGCTCACCGTGTGGGGGGGACACGCTCCCCCTCCTCGCCGCAGGTCCGCCCACCTGGGAGGGTCCTTTTTGTGCCACATTTTCCACATCTCGGTGCTTTCAGCTGGCGACTTCTGTTGAGAGCGGGGACGACGCTAAGTGCTCCTGAGTGTCCCCAACACGGGACGGCTGTGCGCGCCCTGGGGAGGAACCGCGTGTGTCCCTGCGTGGGGGACTGTGCTGCTGGCCACGAGGCAGAGGTCGCGAGCTGACGATCTGCACTGGGCAGAGAAGCAGCCAAAACAAGTTTGTTATCTGTGGGACCAAATGCGACCAGAGCTGCCCCAGCTGACCCGCAGGAACCCGGGAGCCAGGGTGGGTACTGACCGCAGGGTGACAGCAACTGTGTGGACTGCGGGCGGTGGACGGGCCCCTCCGTGCTGGGCGGTAGCTCATGTGGTAACATTATGCTGAGAAAAGAAGCCAGGCCCAGAGAGACACCAGGTCTTCTCCCAAATCCATCTCAGAAGCAGAGGACAGGACCGAGGTTGCCAGACTCTAGGAGGAGCGCGGGGGATGGGCAGATGTTGGTCAGAGGGTACAAAGTTTCACTGGGGCCCAAGGAATGACCTGTGGCACCCCATCCTGACCATGGTCAATGAGCACATCTAGTATACTTCAAAATTCCTGAAAGTAGATTTTAAATGTTCTCAGCACAAAATAATATGCGAGGTGAGCCGATAATTAGCCTGATGTAATCATTCATTCTACAATGAATGAGTACATCAAGACGTCACATTATATCCCATGAAGGAGTGCAATTATTATTTGTCAATTACATTTAAAACATTTTGGGGGATCATGGGGGATTGAACTCAGGAGCACTGGACCACTGAGCCACATCCCCAGCCCTATTTTGTATTTTATTAGAGACAGGGTCCCGCTGAGTTGCTTGGCATGTAGGTCCTTTGCAAACACTAGGCCATTTTACACCAGGGACTTGAGCACCTTTAGATTTAGGCATCTCCAGGAGGCCCTGGAACCAACTCTCCACGGCTCCAGAGGGACGGCTGTATGCAGGACGTTGCTATTAACTACAGCTACCGTGTTGCACAAGGGGCTCCTGAGCCTCTTCCTCCTGTCTAACTGGAACTTTGTATCCTGTGACGGACCTCTCCCCAGAACCCACCCCTCAGCTCTGGCAGCCACCATTTTACCCTCGGCTGGTCCACGCTCCATGGTTGAGTTTCCACATAAAAGTGAGACCATGCAGTCTTTCTGTGGCTGACTTATTTCTCTTAACATAATGTCCTCCTGGTTCATCCACATGGTGGCAAAGTGACAGACTTCCCTTCTTTTTAAAGGTGGACTAGGGCTGGGGCTGGGCCTCAGTGGCAGAGCGTAGCCTAGCCCATGGGAGGCACCGGGTTCCATCCTCAGCACCACATAAATAAAATAAAGGGATGATTCCCATCTAAACCACAACAAGCATTAGGAAAAAGATGGCGCAATGTTCCATGAGCATGTATGCCACATGCCCCTCACCCACTCCTTCTTGTTTGGGTTTGACCCCAAAATCTCAGGAAATAAAAAATGATGGGATTATATACAATTAAAAGATTCTGGAAAGAAAAAGAAACAGATAACTTATGGAATAGAAGAAAATATTGGCAAACCATCCATGACAAGGGTTCATACCCAAAATATATGAGGAACTCAAACAACTTGATACCAAGAAAACAACCTTATTTTTAAATTGCTTAAAAGGGACAGACTGGTGCGTGCCTGTAGTCCCAGCTACTTGGGAGGCTAAGGCACGAGATTACTTGAATCTAGAATTTTATTTTATTTTATTTTTTGGTTTTGGAGATTGAACCCAGGGATGCTTAACCATCAAGCCACATCCCCAGCCTTTTTATTTTTTATTTTGAGACAGGAACTTGCTAAATTGCTTAGGGCCTCTCTAAGTTGCTGAGGGTGGCTTTGAACTTGTGATCCTCCTGGCTCAGCCTCCCAAACCTCTGGGATTACAGGGTGTGTATGCAAGACATCGCTATTCACTATAGTCACCGTGTTCTATGGTGTCAGAAGGGTAGGATTCTGACACCACAGCAACAGAGCAAGACATATCTCCATAAAAAGAAAGAAAAAAGCATAGTCAAAGGACATGAATAAACATTTTTCAAAAGGAGAAATAAAAATGTCAAACAAATATATGGCAAAAAGCTCCACATCATCAAGGCAATACAAATCAAAAACCACAATGAGATTTCACCTAACACTTGAAAATGGCTATTATAAAAAAGAAAGATAGCAAGTGTTGGCAAAAATGTGGAGAAAATGGAACCACAAAAGGTTGTTGGTGATGATGTAAATTAATATAGGCACATGGAAAATAATATGGAATTTCTTAAAAAACTAAAAGTAATTAAATGATCCAGTAATCCCAATCCAAAGGACTTGAAATCATTGTGTCAACACATAACGACACACCCGTGTCTACTGAAGCATTGCTCACCATGGCCAAGATGTGGGATCAATATAAGTATCTGTCAATCAGTGGACAGATTTTTTTTTTTTTAAATGTGGGTATGCACCGCGGAATACTCGAGATACTGGTATCTTGAGGGCATGATCCCCAATAGAAAGGAGAAAGAGGGCTGGGGATGTGGCTCAAGCGGTAGCGCGCTCGCCTGGCATGCGTGCGGCTCGGGTTCGATCCCCAGCACCACATACAAACAAAGATGTTGTGTCCCCCCAGAACTAAAAAATAAATATTTAAATTCTCTCTCTCTCTCTCTAAAAAAGAAAGGAGAAAGAGACCCCTGGAGGACAGTGTTGGTAATGCACAGTGAGAGTTCCGGCAGAGGAGGTGGCCAGGTAGTGTTCACACCAGCGCCCAGTCCTCCTCCCACACTTCTGCTTCCTCTGAGGGTAGGTGAGATGCAGCCACCAGAAGCTTTTGGTAGAGATACCGGCGAGTCTCAGCACCACATATAAACAAATCAAATTAACGTCCAACAACAACTAAAATATATATCAAAAAATCAGGGATGAAGAAGACAGGCAGGGTCTCTGTCAGGTGGCGCTTGCCTTTTTCTTTTCCTTTGAGCTTGAATCTTGATCAGAGAAGACAAACAGTGAACTAGAAGACAATGTGAGTTCAGAACAGGGAAGTGCTATGGCAACAGCGGATAACAGGTGGGAATGGCCGGGGGCACGGTGGTCCTTACACAGTAGAGGGAGAGCCTCTGTGACCAGGTGACACCTCAGCCAATCCCTGAATCCTCACAAAAGAGTGGGAGAAGAACAACCCCAGAGATCAGAATCCAGTGCATGGGGAAGAAAGTGGGCTGGAGAGGAGGGGTCAGCGAGGCTCTGCAGGTGGAGACCCCGAGGCTAGGGCAGGAGATGGATTCTGTGGCCAGATGTCATTTGGGCACATTAACCAGTGAGGGTCCTCTCATTTTTTAACTTCCTTGCACTAAGAAAAAAAATGCCTCTTGTATGCAGAACTGTTGAAGTGGGGAAAGCTGATTCGGGGAGCCCAAATATTAGAATGTTTGGGTTTAAGGTCTTGAAAGGCATGCTTTTGATTTGCCAGAGCCAAACTTTCTGGAAGAAGTAACAATGGCCCTGTTTACTGAGCATTTACTATGTGCCAGGCATTCTCTAGGTCCCTAGCATTTGCTCTTTTACTCCTTGGGGCAACTCACGTGGTGTTGCTGTCCCCGGTTACATGGCTGAAGCACAGAGAGGGGAATCAACTTGCCCAAGTCGCGCAGCAGAGCTCAGACTTGAGCCCAAGCAGTTTGGCTTTGTGTCCCATGCTCTTGAGGGTGATTTTTGTCACAAAAGAACTTCCAATGGGAATGAAGGAGGAACTTGGAGTTAAAGGGGGATGAGGGATGAGCCCTCCTCCTGCAGGGGCACCCTGCACACCGTGAGGGCTGGGCACCTGGAGCCCAGAAGAGGAAGAGGGGGTCTTCCTGAAGGCAGAGGAGGGGGTTGCGATGGGACTGAGATAGGGAACAGGAAGCAGCTGCTCTGCCTCACACAGAGGTCCCGCTACAGACTGGATAAAACGGCATTCCACCTTCCCAGGGCCACTGTCCCTGCGGATGTAGCCGTGTGTCCTGCGACCCGACGCTTCTGCCCTCAGCGTTGCTTTTGGGCTCGCTAAGGCGGGCTGCCGTCTGCACCCACCCAGCCCTCAGCTGCGTGATCCCAAGCGAATGGAACCGAGTGCGCTCCCCGAATCCTGTGAGAATCCCATGAATATCCACCACCACCTACGAATATTCATCCCCCTGAAAGAGAGAAGCTGGCCAAGGACCTCTGTGTTGGGGACCCGGGCACCCCAGAGGAAGGGATCTACTTTTAGGGGCTCCATAAAGCTTCAACCTTGCCCCTTAAATTCGTCCTGAACCCTGGTCCTTTCGCGCTCAGCCCCCTCCCTATGAGCCATGGCCGCAGAATAAACTTCCTGCTTGGGCTCTGGGACAGTCCACCATCAACGCCGGGGCCCTGGAGTAGCCAGAGGGGCGTCAGGGTCTAGGATTCCAAGACCCCAGCCCCGCCTCGCCACTCACAGGCAACCCCTGGGTCCCCGCTGTCCCCGCTGTCCCCGCCCCGCGCCCCCTGCTGGCGCTCGGTGAGCCTCCAGCGCCAGTGACAATGGTTTATTCCTGGGAACCTGCAAAGGTAGGAGGGTGGGGCCAGGTGGGTCCCAGGTCAGATCCCGGCGGGTCACTGCGCTCAGCGGCTTCACCTGCGGCCAGAGCCCGTCCCCTGCGCGCAGATCAGCCCGGGCTTCCTGCGCTGCTGGGTGTCCCTGGGCAGGACGCGGAAGCGCAGCAGCGTCAGCGCCAGCCCCACCTTCATCTCGCTCATGGGGAACGTCTGCCCCGTGCAGTTCCTGCGGGCGGGGTGGGGACTCTCACTGTGTCGGGGACCCCCATCCAGGGCCATCCCCACGCAACCTGACCCGGGATCCTCCCTCTGACCCTGATCGGGCTGAGGGCCAGCGAGGGACGCTGACGCGCCTGGACCACTGTGGGCGTCCCCATGTCCCGGGGCCTGGCCCAGACTCCTGCCCCAGCTCGCACCAGCAGCAGGGAGGGGACTCTGCCACACACACCCCTTTCCTGGGATCCCGTTCCAAACGCGCCCCACAATCAGGCACGGGGCGTTCGGACGAGGCCCCTCTGCACACCCTCACCCATCCCGCCTCCATGCCCGCTGCCCTCACCTGGGCCCCGCCGAGAAATGAATAAAAGCCAGAGGTGACCTCTTCTGGGTTTTTCTGGGTCGAAGCGCGAGGGGTCATAGACCTGGGGACAGGGCAAGAGAGGGCTGCTGGGAGATGGCACACCAGCCACCCCGGGGGAAGTCGTGCAGGTGCAGTAGAGGGACGGCGTCTGATGTCCCAGGTCAGGTCCGCGCCCCATCACCAGGCCCCAGGAATGGGGAGGAGGAGCAGCACCTCAGGATCTGGCCAGACAGATGGATTGTGATGGATCCCAAAGATGCTGATAGCACAGACGTTCCCTGTAGGGAAAGGGGACAATCAGGATGAGGTCCGTGCTGCCCCATGAGACCACCACCGTGCCCAGGAGCCTCCTCCCCCTGCTGCTGTGGGGACCTTTGGGGATGACCCGGCGGTCGGGGAGGACAACGTCCTGGGTACAGCAGCGGGAGATGACTGTGACTGGGGGGTGCAACGGCAGACTCTCCTTTCTTTGAGGGGGGGGGGGCTGCTGGGGATCAAGCCCAAGGCTTTGTGCATGGGAGGCAAGCACGCCACCAACTGAGCTATTGTTGCAGGGGCCAAAGAGGCAAGACACCAAATAGGAATAGGAATCAGGTTTATTTAGCTATACCAGGTTCAGAGGGCACAGCTTTCGCTGTAATCAATCAATCCCCTGAACCCCAAATTCAGGAAGTTTCAGAACATTATACCCAGCATGTGAGGGGAGGGCCTCAGAAGTTCACAGTCTGCAGAAGTTCACAGAAAAGCAGCTTTTCCTTGCACTGTTCTGGGCAAGTTAACCCTTCAAGGACAACACCTGAGAAGGGGAGGGAGAGCTTCTTCCCTTTCTTCCCTCCCCCTGCCAGCTGTTACCATGGAGCCCAACTGGTAACTTCTCTATCTTAGGAATGTAGACATCTCCCTAAAGCCCAGCTCAAGGCCAGAGGCCTTGTTAAAGGATCTGTCTCTCTCTTTTTTTTTTTTTTTAATTTTAATCACATTTTGCATTTGCAAACACACTTCTACACATTATTATACTGGATAAATGTTTGTGAAAAACTAATAAAGGGGCGTTCAGCACCTGGAGTGGCTGATCTCTTCCAGGCCAGTGGCCAAGTAAAATAGAGCAACAGACAAACAGAAAGTTTATCTACGTTGAACTCTTTTGCAGAGACTCTTTTGCTGATAGCCCTAAAATCAGTTATGGTGAAGATTTCTGAAGAAGCTTAGTTAAGGTTTTCTGTGGAGAAGGGGGTGCCACTACACTACATCCCCAGCCTGAAGGCTCTTCTTGATACACGTGGTCAGGAAGGGCAACTGGGCTGGGATGTCCCTAAGGAACCGCACCCCCAAACAGTTATCCAGGGAGCAAACAGAAAGAATACCACCCAGCCTCACTGCCGCCCCATGAGACCCTCTTGCCGCTGCCCTCTGACCCTCTGTCCTAATCCCAGATGGATCAAAGGTTTAAACGTTAGAAAATAAAAGTCACAAAAATACTAAACAAAAACTTGATCTGGTATATTTAGAAGCATTTCTCAGCAAAACACAACATTCAAAGGGTGTAGAAGTGCTGATATTTACATAAAAAAGTTTTAAAACATGTATAATGAGTTAACAAAAGTTGAAAATCTCCATAAAGTTTCTCCAAGTTTATTTTAATAAATAAGATCCACTCAAGACTCCAGGGTGGAATGACAATACTATAAAAATATCATGTTTTTCTAAATTAATCAATATATTCAATGCAATCCAATAAAAATCTACCCGAATTTTTTTTTTAAGAATTGATAATCTTATTCTAATTGGAAGAGTTCAAGTTGGTCAAGCACTAATTTAATATAAAAATAACTGCTGGGCATGTGGTGCGTACTTTTAAACCCAGGTGCTTGGGAGGCTGAGGATCTCAAGAGAAAAATTTGAGTCCAGCCTCAGCAACTTAGAGAGGCCCTAAGCAATTTAACAAGACCCTGTCTCAAAATAAAAAATTAAAAGGGCTGGGGATATGGCTTAATGGTTAAGCGCCCCCCAGTTCAGTCCTCACTTTAAAATGTGTGTGTGTATGTGTGTGTGTGTGTAAAGGAATAAAAATGGAGAACTCAATGTGGCAGATAGGAAAACCTGTTACAAAAGCATAGTAATGAAATGAAATGAGAAATTTTAAAACTGCAGTACTGCAGCAAGAATAGGAAAACAGACCCATTAAGCAGAGTGTCAAGTCAGACTCGAGAATAGGTGAAACTTAGCATCTGATGAAGGAGGTTCCGCAGACCCCGTGATGTGAACCCAAAGAACCACATCCTTGTCCACTGCGTGCAGAGAGGAGTCCCTCTCCCTGTGAGAGGTGAAACTGTAAAGTTAATCAGCATACCCATCGGTGCGACCTTTAGCATTTCTTTGCAGTGAAATTATTCAAAGTCCTCTCTCCTAGCTCTTTTGAAGTAAACAGCCCGCTATTGTCAACTGCAATTGGTAGTCGCAGGAGAACACTGGATTGTTCCTTCTCACTGTGACTTTGTACCTGCTTATCAACTCTTTCTACTCCTCGCCCCTTCCTAGCCTGATAAAGTTCCAAGAAGATAACATTGCATTTTTGTGACTTAGCAACAGGAATTCGTAAAAGCTCCAAATTATAAACTGGAAGACAAAAAAAAAAAAACAACCCACAATCATAGACCAAATTCACATTCAGATGATTCAGTGAAAATGTCTACAATCAACATATTGATCTAGAACAATATTTTCATTATCCAAGGAATTCCTGCAAATTAACAAGTGAAATGGCAGGTGACCCAAGAGACAAGTAGACAAGGGAGTTAACATAGGAATTCCCAGAGGTTTCCCAGAGGATCTTATGTATTCAAATAAACTTATAAACACAAGAGATTTAAGAAGAGATGCCCAAAGTCATGGTTTATTAGAGAAATGGAAAGTGTTAACAATGGGATGACACTTCACATCTCAGGTAAGAATCAACAAGGACAGGAGTGTTTAGGGTCGGCTGAGGTGTGGGGGGGTGGAGGGATCTCTGCTGAGAGTTGGGGTGTGGGCAGGGGCTGCCAGTGTGCGGCCAAGGAATGATGATGTGGTTTACAACCCTGCAGACGCCCCCAGCTATAGATCCCAGAGACAAGCGCAGACGGAGACATGCTCCCTGCCCTAGAGAGACAGCAGCCCGGGTATCCAGGACTAGGGAACTGCAGAGGGAAACACCGCTCGATGGTTCGATGCAATTGGCTGAATGTACTTAAACCGTGGCTAACCAGCGAAATCATGGCTCCCATTTCTGAAAAAGGCAAGACTCAGCATGAGAACTGTGAAACAGCAACATATATGTGATTTTTAACATATATCCACCCCAGTAACAAATTTTGCAAATTAAAGGATCAGGCTCTCTAGAATCATATGGGTGGAGAGTTGGAAGAAGAGAATTGGGAATAAGTAAGTAATGCGTGGAAAAATGATAGAATTAGTCAGGAATTGAGGAGCATGGTTAACTCAACCCTTGTCACCCGAGTTTCAAAAGAAAATGAATGAATTAACATGTTTACCAGGTGCGGTAGTACAGCTATAGCCCCAGCTGTTCAGGAGGCTGAGGCAGGAGGATCATTTGAACCCAAGTTGTGGGCAACACAATGAGACCCACCTCAAAAACTAACAAACAATATTTCAAGAGCATTTCTTCAAACGAGCCAACCCGATCATGGAGTTCAAGTGCAAAACTTAAAGACTCAAGAAGAAATTATTAAAGCAATGAGACAAGAACAACTTTATCAAATATATTTTCATCAAATATAATAACAGCTTTATCAAATATAATAACAAAGACTTCTTGGTGCTTATTTATGACCACAGAAATAAATGGAACTGAAAATAATCCAGAAATAAACCCAACTGTATAAATAAATTCAGCTAACTGTGAAGCTACTAGTAGTATTTAAAGTCATAAGACAAGTAAAAAAAAAATTCATTAAATTCTTTTGAGATAATGAGCCATTTAGAGAAAAAGATACCAACATAGGTTTCATAGGAAAAGTAATTAAATATAAAACACTTTTGTAAAATGTTAAATATTATTTATTTTTAAAATACTAAATAACCCCATTAGAGGAAAACAAACAAGAGCTTTACATTTTAATATTAGAATTTGAACCACTTTTCCAAGTATTATTTTAAAAAGAAAAAGAAACAGTACACAGGGAATAGCTCAGTGGTACAGGACTTGTATAGTGAGCTCAGGGATTGGGTTAAGAGTCTTACAGCCTAATCGCTTCTCCTCTGCACCTTCTTGTATTGTCTCACGCATGAGCTTTTGGGGGACACCACATCTAAACCATAGCAGTCTCCATTTTTATTCACCAGCTTGGCCCGGGGTGCATACATCTTATTAACACTTTCAAGTATTGAAATATGGACTTGTTGGATGCTATCGCCTTTTTGCAAATTTGTTTTTATATTTCATCAAACTTCTACAGTCCACTTACCCCTTCAGAGAATCCCTGCTTCTCACCTGTTCCTGTGCGGACACCATCGCACACGGAAACCAGTTGCTCATGGATCATCTCATCTCTCTCCTATTCGCCAGTCAAGTATCCAGCGGTCAAGGTGCCACTCTCCCACCTGTCCGAACCCTTGCCAAGGTTTGGTATCTCCAAGGAGAGGGACTCTCTAGTTCACACTTGGACTTTGGGAAGCATCTCCTCATTCTCCAGCCTCCCCTTGAGCAGCAGAGTTTTGCTCTCTATAAACATAGGTCACACTTCAGGAATTGCAATTTGGATTATCCTTACAGTAAGAAGAGGCCCGTTAGGGTCTACTCATGGTTTGTGACTCCCAGCAGTCTCTCTGGTGAGGCGAGAGCAAGAGCCACGGGACCAGTTACAAGGGAATCATTCCTCTGTGATTCCCAGAAAACCCAGCCTGGGATTCCTGCCAACGCCTGTCTGTGAAGTCAACTTGCTTCTCCTCATCTCTGACCTCCACTTCTGACCCCCAGGCTTCATCTTCTCCTAAGTCTCCTTCGTGGGCATCTCTTCGCCTCCACCATGGTCCCCAAATGCCATCTGTCATCCAGAAAGGAGCAGTTCACATCAGATACACACATGGTATCACCAGAAAATCTTTTTTTTCTTTTTTTTTAGTTGTCAGTGGACCTTTATTTTATTTATTTATATGTGGTGCTGAGGATGGAACCCAGTGCCTCACGCATGGTAGGCAAGTGCTCTGCCGCCGAGCCCCAGCCCAGGAAATCTTTTGTTGATGCTCTATTTAGTTGTACATGACAGAAGAATGTATTTTGACATATTATACATACATGGAGTAGAACTTCTCATTCTTTTTTTTTCCCCCGGGGGTGGGTACTGGGAATTGAATCCAGGGGTGTTTAACCACTGAGCCATACCCCCAGCCCTTTTTAATATTTTATTTAGAGACAGGGTCTTGCTGAGTTGCTTAGGACCTCACTAAATTGCTGAGGCTGGCTTTGAACTCTAGATCCTCCTGCCTCAGCCTCCTGAGCTGCTGGGATTACAGGAACGTGCCACTGCACCTGGCTAACTCCCCATTCTTGTGGTTGTACTTGATGTGGATTTACAAAGGTTGGGTATTCGTATATGAACATACGAAAGTTATATCCAATTCATTGTACTGTACTGTTTTTCCCATTCCCATCCCTCCTCCCTTCCCCCCATTTCCCCTGTCCCAATCTGGTGAACCTCCACTCTACCCCCACACCCCACCCCTGCCTATTGTGAGTCAGCATCTGCATATCAGAGAGAACAGTTGGCCTTTGGTTTTTTTTGGAATTGGCTTATTTCACTTAGCATGATAGCTTCCAGTTCCATTCATTTCCTGACAAATGCCATGATCTCATTCTTCTTTATGACTGAGTAATATTCCGTTGTGTATGTGTACCATTCACCAGGAAATCTTTTGCAATGGTTCTAGCTGGGATGAACAGCTGTCTCCTATCTGATTTATTTGGGGTCATTGCCTCCCTTTATGACTTACGACTCTCAGTCAGTTCTGCATCCTGCTTCAATACCCTTGTGCGTATACCATTTTGTCACCTGATTTTGGCCACATTACCACATGCCCACTATTGCCTTTCCCATTTTCCCAGTGACTTTGCCAAGGTCCTCATGAGCATCAGTACGTGCAGCATTTATTTTTTCTTGGGATTGTGAGTTCATTGAGCACCCACAGAGGATATGGACTAGAGAGGGGAATGGCTCTAAGAGAGGAGACCAGAGGAGCTGGCTAGTTCCTGGCTGAATCTCCAACATCATGCTCCATTATTTCCTTCAGGAGAGATTCTCTGAAGACCAGAAATCGCATGTTTCTTTCCTGTATTCACGTGCTGGAGCTCCGGTGCGTGTGAGCCAGGGCTGTACCACCGAGCCTCACCTGCAGCTCGAGGAAATGATATTTCTGAAAGTTGAAAATTGCTTTCCACCATCTTCTAGGAATAATTCCAGCCTCGAGGGCCCCAACTCCCGTGGCTTTTAATTTTCTCTCTGACAAAAGAAAAAAGGAGATAATGAGCAGCTTCTATGAAACCCTGTCCCTCAGGGACTCTGTCCTTAGAGAGGTTTTCCGGTGACTCCGTGGGCCAAGGATTCATTTATCAGAGGGGCTGGTTTCCAAGGAGGTTCACCCTGAGGACACCCTGGGATGTGGAGAGACCAGGTGCACGCGGGGTGCAGCAGGGTCTCCCTCGGACCCTGAAAAGGCGGGGGGAGGGGCGAGGGCCAGGGACTCCAGGGCCTGCTGCCGGGGTCTAGGTGTGATCAGAAAGGAGCTGATGGCTTTGTGTTCAGGCTTGCAGTCAGACTGAGTTTATGGCCGACATTGGGAGGCAGAGGGAAGGGGCGCTCTCTTAACCCAGCTGCTGCCTGGTCCCTGCTGAGAGCCTGCCCACCACGACCCTCCACCCTCGGGAGGTTGTGTTTCTGAAGTTCAAGGTGAACTTTCCCAGAGGCTGCTACGTGGGGACACCAGAGCTCCTGACAGTTGTCCGGAGCTCAGACCAGGGACATCTTCATCTCCCCTTTTGGGGACAGTAAAATAATGACACTCTGAAGCAGTTTTCAGAGATAAAATCAGTGAACCTTGGAGAGACAGGACCAAGGAGCCAGTGTCGGTTGCACTGACAGAAAAGGGAACCCAGAATAGGGGATTTGGACCCAGTCACAGGGAAGTTCCTGCCAGTCCCTTGTCACCTTAGCCACGTCCCCTCATAGAGTTTACTCATTTGGCAAATGCTTAAGGAGGGCTGGTCACTCATCTGGAGTTGTATGGCCGGGGGTGACGGTCAACTAGTCAAAGAAAAGCAGGGGGGTGCTTTTGAGCCACGCTCTCTTTTTATTACAAAACTAGCCACAAGGCCGAGGCCAGGCTCCAGGGTGACTTGCATGCACGGGGGACACTTTGGCCTCTGTCGATCCCAACAGGAGTCACCTGTCTCACTGTTCTTTGTCCTCCAAAGCAGAACTACGTAAAGTGACATTTTATGGATGTCTATTTGTTTAAAGACACTTATACTGCGACTTGGATAGCTTCAACTTTTTTCATCTGGATTTGAAAGAAATGGAAATGCTTTCTGGGCTGCGTCCCCTGTGTTTGGTGGCCAGGGGCCTGAAAACATGACAAGGGTGGGCTGTCAGAGTCCCCTCAGGAAGCCCCGCTGCTCTTCGTCCTAAGGAACCATCTGATTTAGAACAAGGAGGCCATCTGCAGGGTTCAGCCTGAACCCAAAGCTGCCTCCGTCCAGCCCTGGCTGGCTGGCTGGGGAGGGAGTCCCTGTCCCTAAATGTCCTGAAGGAAAAATGTGTGGGCGTAACTAACAGGAGGAGAGAGGATCCTGTGGGGGAAGCCGCTGGCAGGAGGTCCCAGAGCTCATGGGGGACAACGTGCTTGTTTATAGATCCATCATGAATAAAGGGAGCACCCCAAAACTCTGGAAGGAAAAATGAGGTCCGGGGAACACAGATGGAGTGTTTGAGGGAAGGAAATGGACCCGTCACCGAGAAGACACTGAGGAGACCCCGGACGGTCTTCAAAGGCAGGAGGCCCAGCGCCTGGAGGCAGGAGCGCTGAGCTGGCGCGGGCAGGCTTCCTGCAGGAGACCGGCCTCACCCGCTGGGCATCGCCTCCAGACAGAGGCCGAGGGTGTGGATGGGTCAGCGCGGCCAGCAGCCCGAAGGCCCACCATGCCAGAGCCAGGTAAGTGCTCAGGGGAGCGCCAGGGGTGGGACAGCCAAGGGCACCGCGAACCCCAGGCTGGGGAGGTGGCTTCTGCCCCAGGACAGGAAGTACAGGTGACCGGCAGGAGAGCCAAGGACGCACTTGGGTCCTGGAGGATTTGTCACAGAGCTGGTGGCAGAAAAGTGGTGACGTGAAGGGACAAGCAGGAGCCGTGTGGGCTGTGGTCTAGAGATGGATTCCACCACCACTTGCCAGGTGACCTTGGCTGCTGCGTTATTGTCCTGGCAGGGCCACTGCAAAGCACCACAGTGTGTGTGTGGGGGGGGCTGGGGACAGCAGGAGTCGCCTGTGTCACCGTTCTGGAAGCCGGAAGTCCTAAGTCACGGCATCGTCTGGTGGATTCCCTCCAGGGCCTCTCAGGGACAGTGCTCCCTTCTCTCCTGGATGCTGGTGGCTCGAAGGGTTCCCGGCCACACACATTGTCCCCATCTTTGACTCTCTCTTTACACAGGCCCCTGTTCTTTCTCTGTGTCCCCTCCTCTTCATGTGAGGACACAAGTCACTGGATTTAGGGTACCCCCAGAATCCAGGATGAATTCATCTTGAGATCCCAGCTCATCACATCTGCAAAGACAGTGCTTCCTAACATAGTCAGATTTTTAAAAATGTATATATATTTAAACTGTAGATGGACACAATTCCCTTATTTTATTTATTTATTTTTATTGGTGCTGAGGATGGAACCCAGGGCCTCATGCGTGCCAGGCTAGCGCTCCACCACTGAGTTCCACCCCCAGCCCTAAGGTCAGATTTTGAGGTGCCAAGTGGACACAAATTTGATGAGGTGGGGACATACAGGATCGATGACTGTACTTCTCGGAATCTCTGTCCTCTCACCCCGACAATGCAGACAGTAACCCCTACTCACGGGAATTAAATTTAAAAAAAAATGCCTGTAAAATACATGGGATTACCCAGCCCCAGATGCCAGCAGTGTGAGGGTTGAGACATGTTTCCAGGGACAGTCGTCAGCCCTGCTGGCCTTAGCTGGCGCCTGGTGTGCGGCAGGACAGCACCCTGCCCTTCCCTTTAGACAGGGCGGAGGGTCCCTGTGTGAAGACAGGACCAGATACGTCACCCACTGGAACATCCTTTGACACGGTCCTCGGGGACGGTTAGACTATGAGTTGGCCCCAAAGGACAAGATGAAAGACTCTTCTGTAGGCAGAGATGTGCAAACAGTGGAACTCTCCCGGGAGTAAGCGGGAACTGACGTTTATTAACATTTCCTATAAAATGGAGCTGAAAATGCAATTTCTCAGCAAAATCCCCAGTTTTGCGCAGGATGGGAAGCAGCTAGCTCTCTGCCTAGGTGCTGCAACTCTGGACCCCTGACGGTCCCAGAGACTCCACCTGAGGTCAGAGATGGGTCAGCAGAAGGACTATGGACTTAGGGGATCATTTATTCTTTGGGATGGGGACTGCCCTGTGCACTGGTGCTGAGCAGGGTGACCTGTTGCCACGACAACAAGAAATCACTCCATCAATCAGTGCCAGTAGCACACCCTGCTCTTCACACCCAACAGTGTGCGATGAGCTAGGAACGGATTTAAAAAGCTATTCAACCCTTCCTCTTCCTCTCCTCCTCCTCCTTCTTCTCTCTTCCCTCCTCCTTCTCTTTCTTCTTCCTCTCCTCCTCCTCCTCTTCCTCCTTTGTCTTTTCCTCCTTTCTGCAGTGCTGGGGGGATGCTAGCGATGGAACCCAGGGCCTTGCACACACCAGGCAAGTGCTCTGCCAGTGAGCTGCACCCAGCCTCGGTCCCCTTGAGTCCCCTTCACGATGTGACTGACAGTCGCAACCAAGTCCCTGCTCCATGGCTGTTGCGCTGAGCTTAATCCCCAGCTGCCGTGAGGAAGGGTCATTTTTCCCCACAGGCTGATGGCCAGCTTGAGTCCCACAAAGGTCAGAGAACTGGCCCCAGCCATAGTCCAGGAAGTGGCTGAGGTGGTGCTCGGATCCCGCTCTGAGCTCTGGGCGTAGTCCCCTAACTCTGTGACAATCCGCACACACCTTCCCAGAAACGATCGCACACTCAGAGTTCTCCAGGGACGTTATACTATCCACATGTGTATTTGGGCTTTCTTCCGTCCATGGCTCCTGACCTACAGCTCCCCACCACGCAGCCATGACACTAGATTTCTCTTCTGTAAGGTGGGTGAGAGGGCTCCGGTCTCCCTCCCTGTCTGTCTGGGAGCTGGTCCTAAAGAATTCTCTGGTTTCCTTGAATTGAACATCCTGACATTTAGAAGGGCCCTGCCCCACACCTGGGAGGAAGAGGTGGCCTTGGAGGGGCGAGGAGAATCTGGACGGCTGGCCCCGGGGGTCCCCCCTGCTGGGTTGGCTTTCCATCTGTCCTTTTCGTCCCCATCATGTCTGCACGACTGCCTGTGCTTCAGTGGCATCTGTCAATGACGTTACATTAAAACCCCACAAACACAGGGTTCCGAGAGCTTCCAGACGGCTGAATATGCGGAGCCAGGCGGGGGCACCCCCACTCCATGCAGAGAGAAGCGCTTGTTTTGGGGACCCTTCCCGACCTCACCGTCTGCACCCCCTTCTTCCTCTGGCTGCTTATTTGAATTCTTTGAAATGTCCTTTATAAGAAACTGGTAACGTGGTGTTCCCATGGTTCTGTGATCTGCTCTGGCAAATCAAGGGAACCCCAGGAGGGGGCGGTGGGAACCCTGATGTCCATGAGAAGCACAGAGGAAACTGGGGCTTGGGATTGGCAGTGGAAGCGGAGGGGACAGTCTTGGGGACCGAGCCCTCTGCTTGTCAGAGAGGACATTGCCTCTAGATAGAGAGCAGCAGGACAGAATTGGCTGAGCCGATGCCCGAGTGGTGTCTGCAGCTGCCCGTTCACGTGGTGTGTGTCCACAGTGACCTACGTTGTGCACACAGCAGGAGAAACCCAGCCCAACTCTGTTCCTCTTCCTCATCTCCCCTCCCATGGAGCTTTCCTGACCCCCTCCCCACCAGGCAAGGCAGAGCTAGACCTCTCTGCGAAGCCGCGGCACCACATTTATTTGCTCACTGCCCTGAGGTGACTTGCCCACCCACCTGCACCTGCACCAAACTGAGTCCTTGAGGGCAGCGCTAGAGGGTCTTCACATTTCCAGTCCCTGCATCATTCACAGAGTGAATAAATCAGACATTGCATCAATCACGAAGCTCACATGCCATTTTAGATTTTATTATTTTTAAAAATATATATTTAGCAAGTAAAAGAAAAAGCTTGCTGGGTGCAGGGGCACACGCCTGTAATCCCAGAGACCCAGGAGGCTGAGGCAAGAGGATGGCAAGTTTGAGGACAGCCTGGGCAACTTAGTGAGGCTGTAAGCAACTTAGCAAGACCCTGTCTCTAAATAAAATATAAAAAGGGCTGGGAACGTGGCTCAGTGGTAAAGCACCCCTGAGTGCCATCCCCAGTTAGGAAGGAAGGAAGGAAGGAAGGAAGGGCTTGCAGATCTTCTAGGTGTGCAGCTTCATGCTGTGACTCACATACACACTGTGTAAGGATTGTCACAGTAAATTTGATCAACACCTCTGTCATCACCTGTGCTGTGCACTAAAGCTCCAGACCTTCTCACGACGGAAACCCTGTACCCCTTGATCAGCCCCCAGCACCCACCCACCCCCCAGCCCTTCTCCTTCTGCTCAATACCTCTCCCATGAGCCTCCAGGAAGCAGCTACCAAACCATGGCAGTTGACCTGAAAGACAAAACCGCCCCCCACCTCCCCCGCAGACCCTTTGCCAAATGCCTGCTCTTTCCGCAGGTGGATGAAGCCTCCTTGAGGCTGGGGGCATCAAATCAGTCCATGACCTCGGATTTCATTCTGGTGGGACTCTTCAGCCACACGGGGCCACACCTTGTCCTCCTGTCCCTCGTGGTCACCGTGTTCGCCACGGGCCTCCTGGGCAACACCACCCTGCTCTTGCTGATCCACGCGGACTCCAGGCTCCACGTGCCCATGTACTTCCTGCTCAGCCAGCTGGCTCTGCTGGACATTGGATTTCCGCTGGTCACCGTCCCCAAGATGGTGGCTGGCTTCCTGCAGGGGGAGAGCTCCATCTCCTTCGCGGGGTGTGCCGCTCAGATGTTCTTCCTGATGCTCATGGGCGTCTCTGAGGGGGTCCTGCTGGCCCTCATGTCCTATGACCGCTACGTGGCTGTGTGCCACCCGCTGCACTATGCCGTGCTCATGAGGCGACAGGTCTGCCTGCTCCTGGCGGGGACGTCCTGGCTCTCGGGCGTGCTGGTGGCCTCCGTGCAGACCTGCGTGGCCCTGCGCCTGCCCTGCTGCGCCTCGCGCACCGTGGGCCACTGGGCCTGCGAGCTGCCGGCCCTGCTGAGGCTCTCGTGCGCGGACACCTCGGCCTACGAGCGGGCGCTGTCCGGGTCCGGGGCGCTGATCCTGCTGCTGCCCCTCGCGCTGCTCGGCGCCTCCTACGGCCGGGTGCTGGGGGCCGTCCTGCGCATGCGCTCCGCCGAGGCCTGCCGCCAGGCCCTGGCCACGTGCTCCTCGCACCTCCTCGTGGTGGGGCTCTTCTACGGGGCCGCCGTGTTCATGTACATGGTGCCCGGTGCCTACCACGGGCCCTACCGGGACAGCGTGGTGTCCCTCTTCTACAGCCTCGTCACCCCCACCCTCAACCCCCTCATCTACAGCCTGAGGAACAGGGAGGTTCGCCTGGCCTTGGTGAAGGTCATGGGCAGGGGCGGCTCCAGGTCACGGAGATGACCTCGTGGTCCCTGTTCTCCTAGGGACCCTCCCTGTAGCTGAGGCCTGTCCTCTGTTGGCAGGCCTCGGGGTCAAGACGTGCCCACCCCTTCCCCTCTCAGACTTCAGTTGCATGGGGGGGGGGGGTCATAGGAAGCAAAAATGGTCACCAAATAAGTTAAGAGGAGGAAGCTTTATTTTTTTTTTTTTTTGTCTTAAAAAGAAGAAATTTTTTTTTATACAAGTGTCAATCCAATGGCAGAGACGGACCCCAGCCTCTGGACACTGTGGTGATTTGAGTACGGCTGGTTCCCTCTGCAGTCCATGTGGGAGTTGAAGTGCCATCGGGAGGTATTCAGAGGACGGGAACCTACTCCAGCCATGGTGTTCCAGGGGGGCCCTTGGGACTGGTTAGGATTAGGTAAGGTCATTAGATGGAGCCCCGATGGGATCCTGTGGCTCTGGAGAGACACAGGACACACACACCTGCTGCCTGCCCTGTGCCACCTTGTGCCTGCCAGAAAGACACACCCTGTGCCTGCCAGAAAGAAGGCCATGGCCAGATGTGGCACCTTGACCTTGAGCCTCGGGAATTGTGGGCCAAAATAAATCTCTTCTAACTTACGGAGTCTGTGGTACTATATTATTAGGGACAGAAAATGGACTAAGGGAGCCACCTGTCAGTGTCCGCCACTCCCCCATTCTTATACCAGGGATTGAACTCAGGGGCACTGAGCCACATCCCCAGCCCTGTTTTTGTATTTTATTTAGGGACAGAGTCTCACTGAGTTGCTTAGCACTCTGCTCTTGCTGAGGCTGGCCTTGAATTCGAGATCCTCCTGCCTCAGCCTCCCGAGCCATGGTATTACAGGCGGGCACCACTGTGCCTGGCTCTTTCGTATGCCTTTCTGCAGTGAGGGCTCTAGGCTTCCATCCTGGGCAAAGGCGGAGGCCTCTGGATGGCACAGTAACCAGCGCTTATTTTCTTCCTGTGACCTCTCCTCCCATAATTTGTTCTTTTGAGGAAAACTCTATAATTCACCATTGTCCTCTATTGTTACCACTTTCTTATTTAAATCAGAATTTCTGAATAGCAGAAAAAATTGTGAGCTTGGCATCCATGCTCAGTCGTGGATTTTTGAAGCTCTAACAAGGTCCATCACAAATAGAAAGACCTACGCTCTAATGGAAAAGCACACGAGCTAAAAATCCTCATTTGATTTAAATTTGTCGAAGAGAATGGATGCAAAGAAGTCTAAGTGATTTATATTTCACAGAGGTTGATCCCTTCCCAGCCAAGCAAAGCCTGGCGGCCACTGTCACATCAGGACCTGGCAGAGTGGCCAGCTCGAGGCGTTGGACTGTTAAGAGCAGAGAGAATCTGCAGGAAGGAGATAAAATTTCCCAGCTGGCAGCAGGACCTGGACTCTTCCGCCCACGCTTGTCTGCCCTCGAACTGCCACCAGCCTCCGCCTTTCGCTGTCACTGCCACCGTGGCCGTCACAGCCTCAGCCGCCTCCACACAATCGCTCCTGTCTCCTGCTGGGAGATGCCACCAGACATGATCACAGTCATCTGTCCCTGCTTCTACCTTCGTCCCTTCTTTCTTTGTAATGGACACATAAGAATTGCACCCATGTGTGGACACATATACGATGTGTTAGGAGCAGACGAGGGTGAGGGACATTCCCATCTCCTAAGCGGTGGTCATTTCTTGGTGTCAGGAGCCCACAAACTCCTCCCCTCTAGTTCTTCCTAAAATGTACAATACCTTGCTGTAAACTGAGTCGCCCTCCTGTGCTGTGGAGATCTAGATCTTACTCCTCCTGCCCCGCCGTATTTGGGCACCTCTGTCATCTGTCCTCCCTCCCTCGTCCCCTCTCTGACCACTCTTCTACCAGAGTTCGACCTGAGCGGGGACATGTGCTTGTCTTGATGTGCTCGGTTATTAACCTACGTTCCTCCAGGTCTATCCTGCTGCTGCAAAGGACAGGATCTCGTTATTTTCATGGCTGACTAGTGTTCCGCTGGGTCTGCCTGCCGTCTGTTCTTCACCCATTCATCCACCCACGGACCCCTCGGTGGATTCCGACCGTGGCTCTCGTGAGCAGCGCTGCGGTCAACCGGCTTCCTCCCGCCTGTCACCCTGCACGAGGCCCCCACCGAGGTCCCCACCGAGGCCCCCACCGAGACAGCGATGAAGTGGAAATCAGCTGGCAGCCGAGACGACGTTAACTCAGAGAAACAGTGAGATGTGAGAACGGAATGAGAATCTGTCCCTGCTCAGGCCCCAGAAAGAAGCAGTTCTCTCTAGTCCCAGCACCCTCTGTCCCCAAATGCACTTTCCCAAACAATGTTCGCCGGCTCTTCCTCATGCAGCCCCCCCCCAATTCCTTGGTCTCCCCAGAGGTGTCTGAGCAGGAGACTCCAGGTCCAGGGTCGTCGTGTGCCTCCTGACATGATGTGCCAAGGAGGACACGATGCCACTTCCGTGGTCCCTGAAATACGAGGCAATACGATCCGGGATGAGGCAGTGTCTGATGGTCAGCCCCCAGTGAGAGACGTCCCATTCCACAGCTGGCCTGGATTCTTCAGCCATTCAACCCTGAACACTGGTTCAACCTGGATGGGGAAGCCAGTAGGGTCCATTGTAAAAATGTTCCCAGGGATTGTGCCATCAGTTTCAAATTAAAAAAAAATAATTTAATTTAAAAACATTCCATGTGATGACCAAGGAAAGCAGAGGAACTGGTTCAGGTGAACAAGAGACGTGGCAATTAGATATACCCGATCCTGGTGCGGGTCTTAGACCAGAGGCGGGGAAGCCTGCTATAAATTATGGACATTTTCAATACTCACAGATGTTTGATCCATATTAGACAGTAACACAGTGTCTGTGCTGAACTTCTTGACTTTGATAAATTTACTGCGGTTATGTAAGAGAATGCCCTTGGACTCAGGAGGCTGAGGCAGGAGGATTACAAGTTTGAGGCCAGCCTGGGCAACTTAGTGAGAACTTGTCTCAGAAAAAAAGGAGAAATGGGGTTGTAGCTCAATGGTAAAGTTCCCCAGGGTTCAATCCCCAGTGTCTATAAGTAAATCAATAAATAAGGAAATGCCCTTGTCTTTAATACCCAGTCAATGAGTATTTGGGGCAGAGAGACATTGCTACGGCCTCATTTGTGTTTCTGCGAAATTTACATATTGAGGCTTTAAGATCCGATGTGACTGTCTTGAAAGACAGGACCTTTACGGAGATTCTTAAATTGGGTCTTGAAGGAGGAACCCAAACCAATAGGGCTGGTGTGCTCAGAAGAGAGGGACAGACAGAAACTGGGGAAAGGCCAAGGGGGGACACAGCAAGAAGGCAGCCAGCCACCTGCAAGCCCCAGGGAGAGCCCTTGCCAGACGCCGGCCCTGCCCACACCTTGGTTTTGGACTCTGAGGCTCCAGATTCCAAGACAATACATTTCTGTGGCTGAAGCCACCTGGTCCGTGGTGTTTTGTCATGGCAGCGCCGTGGGGTGATGCATGTTGAGACTTGATCTTTGCTCTGGGGAGGTTTCAGAGGTGGGCCGCGGGGAGGTGACTGAGTCATGGGGGCTCTGTCTTTATGAGTGAATTAGGACGGTTGTGAAAGGGGCTGGTGATGATGGGGGCGCACTCTTCCGCTCCTCTGCCACGTGATGACACGTGTTCCTCCTCCCAGCAGGGCCGGAGGTGGAGGCAGGAGGATCACTTGAGTCCACAAGTTTGAGACCAGCCTGGGGCAACATAGAGACTTGTTTCAAAGAACATTCTCTTTTGCCATGTAAGGACACTGCCAGAAGGCCCTGACCAGATGGCACCCTGAACTGGGACTTCCCAGCCTCCAGAACCGTGAGAAACAAATTTCTGTTCTTTATAAATTGCCCAGTCTCTGGTGTTTTGTTATAGCAGCACAAGGGGACTGAGACAGGCTACCTGAGCTGTCTCATCCAGCTGTCACCCTGCATCCTCCCCTCCAGGGGCTCAGGAAAAAAAAATATTGTATATAGAGATGGAGCAAGAAAATAAATGGGGGGCAGTGGCAATTTATGAGCCTGAGTGGAGTTATTTGTGCCTTGAAACTCTTCTCCAAGTTTGAAATATTTCACAACTTAAAAAAATTTAAAGTGATAGTGACATCATCATGGTGTTTTCTGAGAGTATGTCAAAACCTATCAAACGTGTATGCTAAATATGTGTTTTTAGTGAATATCCATCAAACCTTAGGAGTGGTCTAGAAATAAATTAAATGCGGCCGGGAATGTAGCTCCGTGGTAGAGAACTTGCATAGCATGTGCAAGACCCTGGGTTCCATCCCCAGCATCCCCCCAAAATATAGGAAAAGAAAAGAAATAAAAGATTGAAGAGGGAATGGCAAGGGGGAGGCAGGTGGGAAGGGAAGGTAAGGTTGTGTCGGGTACAGGACACCGCCTTCTAGTTGGAGCTGGGCGGCAGACCTAGGTGGACTTCTGCAGCCCCAAGCTGAAGTTGGTCCTCAACCCTCACAGGGTGCGTTTCCCAGGGAGGGCGCTAGGGGGCGCCAGTGCTCCGCGAGCCACACGCCCATTTCTCCAGGCTGCAAAATCGCCCTCTGCCTACAGCACACCCCGAGCCCCAGGGTGGCTCCTGGGGGCTCTCAGAAGTCCCAGAAAACGTTTAGGACACCCAGGGAAAAGTTTTAAACCACACGTTTTCAAAGCATCAAAGCATAGCTCCGAGATCATGATCAATAAATGGAATGGAATGTCTACTCGGCCTGAGGAAGGTACCAACTATTCATTAGCTTGACTAAATTAACAGAAATCGCCCCAAGGCCCTGACACTGAAAAGTGACAGCTGGTCTCTGCAGCAAGTCCCGTAAAAGGCGCCACAAGTAAACGAGTTTTCATGACACCTCAATAATTTCGAAATCAAAAATACAATGACCCTTTCTACTTTGATTGATTAATTGATTGATCGGGGGGGACTGAACCCCAAGGGCACTTTACCACTGA